TACCACTGAAAAATCTTACAGTTAAAAGGACTTCAGAATAAGGCTTTTATGCCAGCCAGTGTTATTGTAGTATTATTTATATATACACTATTATAGTATCTATTAATATTTCTAAATATTTTTATAGATTTAGTTTTTTTTAATTCTAGTAATTAGTAATTTTAGTAAATATTAAGTTTTAGGAATTTTGTTATGTGCTTTTTATTGGTCTTGTACTTGTCTTGGGTTTATTTTTATTTCAGTTTTAGTAATTTTAGTACTTCAACTTTTTAGCACTTTCAACTTTCCTAATTTTCAGCTATGTTTTTATCTAATATTTTTATTTCAGCTTTATTCAAATTAACAAAAACTATTTTTAGCAGATTTACTTAACAATAACACTGATGCCAGCTGCAGTGTAACAATAGAATAAATTTAGAATAAGGCTTTATTGCCAACTGCACAGTGTAACAACATTTGTAATATTCAAAAAATTGTTTAAATGGGACATAAAATATTCAAAAAATTGAGCAAATTTATTTTTTTTAGGTTTTTAACTTTTAACTAGGTCTTTTCTAATATTCATAAATTGTTTGATAAATAAAATATATATTTTTTATATATATTTTCAATCAAATCCAAGTAGATTTTGTCAGTGGCAGGAATGAGGCACATACATATTTATTTGGCCCACTAATAATTACCACCATTTGCATCTTACATTTGTGTAATGTATAATCCTCTTGCAAATCCAGCCGTTACTGCTAAATATGATCAAGGCAATCAATTCAAATCATTGCTTGCTATATCACTCTTAGACTTTCCATGCAACTTCTGTCCCATTACAGCAATAACAGAACAATCAAGGAAAAGTTTTATAACACTTCACAAATCCTTATAGGCAAAAATGTCCCATGTTTTCTTCAGTGTTGGTTTCCTGCAGGCTTCCATTCAGTCGTCTCACCTGTCCCCTGCACTCTTCTCTGCATGCTCATCTATTTGTCTCCTCCTCCTCTCCAGCACCTCCAGCCGTTTGGCCTCATTGCGGGATCGTTCCTGCTCCCTGAGATCTGCAAGGTCCTCCATGAACAAATGTCTTCATGCATAAGGCAGAATAATGATATGAATGAGCAGACCCAACAGCAAAGATCTTATTAAGTTACAACGCTTGTAGGCAGCACTATAATGATAATCATTTAAAAAGCATTACATTGCATGCATTTATTCTGCAATTAATTCACAATAACTGCAATTTAGTATCATTTAATTTTCTACATTTACTTTGCAGTTCAGGTTTAACCACTTGGCATACACTGTTTAGTCCATTATTTCAGATGTTCAGTTATTCTGCTAGAATGTTCAGCATTCGAATGTACAGTAACCAACACAGATAACGCCTGTACTGAATCACAACTAGTTTTGTTCACACATAATTGCATACTGAATCTCAGACTAATCAAACACACCTTAACCAGGTAATCAAAGCCTTCAGATTCTTGGATTGATCCTTATATATGTTATATTTGATAATGTATCCGCAGTGTTTTGTCAGGACTCATTTTAACACGGACAAACTGCACAATATTGTGTATTGTTTTATCGTCTAAACATTATTATATACAGATGTGCACGTTGTGTCAATGTCAAGGGGGGGTGTTATCTCACCTATTCAGAAATGCCGTGGCCAAACCTACTAGCAGTGTCCCAAAAAGAATTGGTTTTGTGAGGCGCTTTCCAGTGGACAGTTTGGACTGTTTCATGCTGAAATTGTATAGTCTTCGTGTAAGCAAGCAGACAAAACAGCAAAAGTCTCAGCGAAACTAATTCTGACCTCCACACGGATGAATATATAATACTGCACATATCAACCCCAAGCATTACTTCCGGCTCGTGCGTTCAAAAATAGATTACTTCATTTATTCGCGATATTGCCTTAAGAATCAGGGGGATGTTCTGAATAGTTTACACAGTAAACTGTTTTGTTATTATATGATAGGCTACTTATACGCACATTAATGAGGGATCAAAGGAACTCCAGATGACGGGGGAAGTATTTCCTGACGGACCAGACGCGCAGAGCATGTGATGCGAAACTCCTCCTTGATCAAATCATGACATTCTGGATGAAATGCATCTGGATTTACTATCCGTATACAAACCGTTTCTGTAAATATGCAATTCAAAGTTTATTGCAGAAGCAAGAATAACTTTCGTCAGCGTTATTCTGCACAAGTACGTTGTCACTTGCAGCAGTCTCATCTCGCCTTTATTGCTATTATTGTTGGCTATCAGTCTGTTACATCAGTAAAACAAACTTTTTGTTGTATACGGTGTAATAAAAAACAGTATAACGAACTTTCTTGTAATATAATATAGGCAGAGCTGGTAGTAACTGATTACATAATCTGGATTACGTATTTAGATTCCAAAAATAGTACTTGTAATTAGATTAAATTACATTTTAAAATACTCATAATCAGACTATAGTTACTTTTTTATTGATTACATGATTACACATTATTCACACAATAGCAATAAATTATTCAAAATTTATTGATTCTCCCTAATTCCTCTTTTTCATCTTTTAAGTGTTCCTTTCTAAAATATCCTACCAGTTATACTACATTAGAAAGTCCTCCAGTTTTGTGGACATTCACACAAAGACCAGTCAGGATCAGGTGGCTGTAATTACACGGCCAGCTGAGAGTCCACACAGCATTTGACCACTGGATTTACAAAAATCATTTCAGTTTGAAGTGTTTTCTCAACATTTCTTGCATTAACTACTGATGAACACCTTAATTTTTATTTTAATTATCTTAAATTAAATTAAAATAAATCTTAAACTAAATTATTTTTTAGTAAGTGTTTTATTTTGATAGTTATTTGAAAATGAGCAAGAGGATGGCTAACCGCACACTGATCCACTCAAGACTAAAAAGTCTACAAAAACATATTTTTAATTTTTATAAACTGCATTGTGCAAAAGTGTATGTGAATTTAAAAAAATGGAAACAAGCAAGCAAACATTTCTGCACATTGCTATCTTCAGTGCTCACTTAACAAACAACATTCACCCTTTTTAAGTAGGTCAACAATTAAAGACAATCAACTGAATTCAGTTATCTCAGGTAAACCTCAATTAATCACAAGCAGAATTCCAAGAAAGTTTGATCATTCACATATATAGCAGAAATTTACAAGTATACAACTTCAAAGAATGACCAAACATTACAAATACAACAAACACAGCAGGAGAGGATTTTGAGGCTAAAGCCCAGAGCTTGTATATGGACTTTAAATCACGGGGTTATCCTAATAAGTGGCTTGACACTGCACTTGAGAAGGTTTCTAGCTTACAAAAACAAGAGGAAAGAAATTTGACTATAAAAGAAACAAGAATTTTTCATGTATGTTTAAATCCACATAGAGTCCACTGAGTAATGACATTAAAACTATTATCAAGAGTAATTGGCACATTATCCAAAGTGATCCCCAGTTATTGAATGTATTTAGTGATCAATCACTGACATGCTGACACCCACATCTCTTCTCCGACTACTCTTGTCGATACCCATGGTAATTTTCCATGTCACAACTGTACTTCCTGTACTAAGTATGTTAAATGTAAATCATTTACACATCCTCGTACACTAAAAACCTATAAGATTAGACAATTGATCACTTGTAAGAGTACATATGTTATTTACATTATCATGTCCATGTTTACAACTATATGTTGGCAAAACTATATGTGCATTACGCACAAGAATGATTGAACACACAAGTGCCATTAGGAGACAGGATGATACATCTTCAATTTCTCATCACTTTAAGTCTGCCAACCACTCTTTGTCTGACATGAAGTTCCTGGGCATCGAGAGGATTCTACCTCATAGAAGAGGCGGAGATAGAGATAAGAAGTTGTTGCAAAGGGAGGCTTTCTGGATCTTTGAACTTAAATCTTTATTTCCGGAGGGTATGAATGAAGAACTAGAACTCTTGTTTTTTGTAAAAAATTGGTATTGTCATTACTGCTTTATCTTCTCTCTCTCCTGCTGTGTTTGTTGTATTTGTAATGTTTGATCATTCTTTGAAGTTGTATACTTGTAAATTTCTGCTATATATGTGAATGATCAAACTTTCTTGGAATTCTGCTTGTGATTAATTGAGGTTTACCTGAGATAATTGAATTCAGCTGATTGTCTTTAATTGTTGACCTACTTAAAAAGGGTGACTGTTGTTTGACTTAAAAAGGGTGATTGTTGTTTGTTAAGTGAGCACTGAAGATAGCAATGTGCAGAAACGTTTGCTTGCTTGCTCGTGTCCATTTTTTTTAATTCACATACACTTTTGCACAATGCAATTTATACAAATTTAAAAGATGTTTTTGTAGACTTTTTAGTCTTGAGTGGATCAGTGTGCGGTTAGCCACCCTCTTGCTCATTTTCAAATATCCTACTGGCTCTACGCACCTGCAGTACAAGGAACTTTTTTTTTGGAGCGCTACAATTTTCTCGAGTTTTACATGATAGTTGTTATTTTAAAATGATTAAATTTTACATTTTTATGTTTTAATTATTAGCTTTTCATTAAACTCTCGAACCCCCTGTAGTTCTTTCAAGAGCCCCAGTTTGGGAAACCTTGACGTAATGTAATGCTTAGTGTACTTCATTATGTTAATAACAAAAACATTTTATTTTTCTTTGCATTTTTATATCAATATGGTAGATTCAAGATTATCCTATTTAAATCAATATGATAAATGAGTTAGGTCAAAAGTAATCTAAAAGTAATCAAAAAGTAGTCAGATTATATTACCTAAAATGTGTAATGTAATGGATTGTTACCAACTACATTTTTTGTCATGCAATTTGGAATTGGTAACGGATTACAAATTTCAAGTAATCTACCCAGCTCTTATTATAGTATATTTGTATTACAGTTCTATCTGTCTGTCCATGACAGTCGGTTGGTCTGTCTGTAGGTGTTAAACCCATGTTACCCATGATTCCTCTGTGATGGCAGGAAAGAATCGCTTCTCAGTGTCTGACAGGTTTGAGTACCTGCAGGGTCTGGTCACAGAGTTTCAGGACACTGACAGTGAGGGTATGCCAATGTTTGCAGACACACTACATATTTAAATATTTGTGCTTGAAGCAGTTTGCACATGCTATATTCCTTTACTTGACAGAATATAATCAGTACATAGAGTTATTATTTACAGCTGTCTTTCTAAAAAAAAGGTATTAGGTTACTAGGTTATTATGTACTGTCATTCGTTTCTTGGCAGAGGCTAAAGAGCAAGTGCTGGCAAACCCAAAAGGGTCTGGCTGCAGCTGGCGCTTGCACTCTCAGGCTTGCACTCACAGACACTTGCACTTCCGCTAGCGATGTCACTTGCGGTCTTTATTATTTTTTATTTTGTTCTATTTATTGATGACTTTTTGTTTGAATCTCTCAACATTTTACAACAGTAGCCAGGTAGTGAAGACAAGAAAAAAGAAACTAAATTACGAAGTCCCTTGCAATCGCCACTTGCACTCTCCGATACCTGCGACGTCTGAGAGTGCAAGCCTGAGAGTGCAAGCGCCAGATGCAGCCAGACCCTTCTCGGCAAACCTGGCCAACTTTGCCTACAATCCATCCAACATTGAAGCGCTGCGATTGCTCCAGGTCAATGAGCTCTTCTTGGACATGCTGACAGAAGAGAATGAGAACTTTGTGGAGTTTGGAATTGGTTAGTATAGCTGTTGTAATTGCTGTTATTATAATCTATTCACATGAACCAACAGAGTGTTTGAAATCCTACAGGTGGTTTGTGTAACTTCAGTAAGGAGCGGGAGTCCCGTGATCTGATCCTGAAAAGCGGCGGAGTCCCATTAGTGATATCCTGCCTGTCGAGTAACACAGATGAGACGGTTCTCTCTGCCATCACATTAATGAACCTCACCACAGCAACCTCGCGCGCTGAGACCACAGACAGCGCAGTGGTGCAGTGCATGCTGCGCTTCTCCCTCACACAGAACCCGCGCCTCAGGAACCTGGCGTCTGTCTTCCTGCAGGACTACTGACTACTGCACACAGGAACAAGTAGACAAAGCCAATCAGCGGTGGGGATTCCACTTCCAAAGAACTGAAGACTTTTGTTTTTGAATGTAATATTACAGTCTTCAGTGTCACATAACCCTTCTGAAATAATTTTAATATGCTGATTTGGTTCTCAATAAATATTTATTATCATCAATGTTGCAAACAGTTATGCTGATATAGTTTTTTTTTTTTTACTTTATACTTTTTTCAGAATTCTTTGATAAATAAAAACTTCAAAAGAACAGCATTTATTTAAAAAAGAAATCTTCTGTAACATTACATATGTTTTTCCTGTCCATTTTTGATCAATTTAATGCTTCCTTGCTGAATAAATGTATTAATTTCTTTCCAAAAATATTTTTTTTTACTGACCTCAAGGCTAGTGTATATTTATAGTAGTTGCATTCAAAATAGGCTTTCTTCCGAATACAAACAATTATGAACAAAGAAACAGATGCTGATATTGTTATTCTACTAATGGACACATGGGGGTGACTCAACATATTTAAGACTTTCACTCATGGTAGATTCCAAATTAAGTGATCCATTTACTGGAAGCAATGATGCCTTAAATCAATGCTAATTTTATGAAATATATTACACAGGCAAGCGAATGCATCCCATAATGACCTTGAGAAGCATGCAGTGAATGACGGATTCCATTTTTAGCTGCTAGGAAATTTTCACAATGATCACAATGAGGGAAAGTACCTCAACGCCAACAAAAAGACTAGAATTGTGCCTAAAATACCCTATTTTCAGATATTTCAGGAACATACAATGTAGAACATCTGTACTTCAGATTGAATATGGAGCAGATGTGCACAGAAACCAAACAAGATAATTAACCTTTAATGTCGCTCAAAAAAAAAAAGTTTCTTATAATAAAAATACTTCAGTTTAGCATATTTAAAATATAATGTAATTTTACATGAATAAATTACATATATATTTTTATTTAAAAATTTATTTTATTATCATAATTTATTATATATAATGATACTGAACTGATAAACTAATATAAAATAAATCAAGTAAAAATAAACGGATATAAAAAAAATCGAATGATATTAAATTGATACATTTAAATCCCTCCACCCCCTCCTTGCTTGATCAAACTAATTTTACCTGAAATATCATAAAATGTCTTCGTTTTACTTTTTTTATTTTATTTCCATGATTGAAAATATATTTTAAACTCTAGAATTTGGATTCCACTGTATATGTTAAGATTTGTGGAACTAACCTCTGATTTCTATGCCATTAAACTTTTGTTTTAATTTCAGTCAGTGTGCTTATATTACTCGTTTTGCACAGCCGAATATGGTAAAGGCCTTTTGCTAGCATTTTTCCACAAACTAGCCTAATGGCAAGCAGACAGCTGAATCAGGCCTGGGAGGCAGGTGAGGTATGTGGTGAGCACCTGAGAACTGGCACACCAGCTGTTGTTCTCTCGCTTTACAGTATCGCTTCAGGCTAAAACAAATCTTCCAAAAAACGAAGTAGATAATGTGCACTGGAAACAATTCATCACAGTGTCTTTAAAGAGACATAACCTCATCATGGCACAGGATGTCAATTTATGTTTACCAAACTGAATTACAAGTGCTGCCAGCTGGTGAGACTGTGACGTGCCAGACATTTATAATGTTTATTTGGAACATTTTAAGTGATTTTAAGTGAGTCATGAACTTTTGAACTCAAGTTAATAAAAAAAAAAAAAAAAAATGTATCATTTTTCATTTTAAGTGATTTTAAGTGAGTCATGAACTTTTGAACTCAAGTTAATAAAAAAAAAAAAAAAACTGTATCATCTTTAATAACCATGATTTCAGTGTCAAATATCATATTAAACTTTGCGCACCACAATACCTACTACTAGCCAAACACTAGTTGCACAATCTAGTGTGAATGTGGACTTGGAAATACCAAGACATACACTTTGCCAATAAAATGTTACATTTAAGCAAACACTAGATTCCGCCTAACCTAAGAAAAGCTGAGGCACTCATAAACAGATCGGAGGACTATCAGGTCTTTGAACCAAAAAGGAACAAGGATACAACATTTGTTACACATAATCCAACCTCAGTTGGCCACTGTGAAAATGTTTGTTGAAGCATGTGGGAAAAAAATACTGGGTGATTCCACAGTGCACTTTATTTTCTTTAAATTTTTTCTTGAATACTGGACATAGTTGAAATTAAAGGACACATTTATGCAGAGCAATGCACCTCTCTACTCCATGAAACGCTCCACTGCAGACAAAAGAAAAACCTCCATTT